TATATATATATCCTTCATACACACGTATAGTAGCAGTCGTACAGCTTTGATCTTTGCATAGAGGCAAGATGCAAAGATTGCTCTTTGCCAATACAGTCACATGCACGCATGGGCAGGCGTGCACACTTGTGTGATACAGGTCTACGTTCGCAGAGGATTCAAAAGTGTCTCTATAGATTCGTGCTCCGATGCATGTATGTTATTAACATCATGTAGAGCTGGTTTGTTTAGACATTCATGTTTTGAGAATCTTCGTGCATGCGCCTGTGGCAATATACCTGTTTTCGGTGAGCACGCACTCTACAGGCACACAACTACACACATGAATTACCTGCTTGAGTTTATTCATCTCCACAGACACAAACACAGGCACATTCATTCACATTTACACGTCTTGTGCACTTTCACTTACAATTCACTTACGCTACCATTTACACTTACGCACATACGAACGCAGAACCATATCCAGACAGACAAGGTAATCACTACACTTACACTTACACTTACACTTACAATTACACTTACACTTACACTTATACATAAACTTACATTCACGCTTACGCTTAAACTTACACCTTCACTTACACTTCATTTACACTTACACTTACACTTACACTTCCATACACAAACAAGTACAATAACATATATTACACTTACACTTACTTACACTTACTTACACTTACTTACACTTATACTTACTTACACTTACACTTACACTTACACTTACACGCACACTTACACTTACACCCTACCCAGACAAGCCAAGCTCTACCGGATGATAGTACACTGCCCTTCCCGCGTGGGCCATTAGAGGGTGGGTCGCACTGTTGGTCTGAGCCCGACACCGCAAAGATCTTCGACAGGCGAGGCAAAACCTATATGAAGGACTGGCGCAAGGTCAAGGCCAACCCTGCCCTGTTTAAGGTGGGCCAGTGGGTGCGGTCTTAAATCAGTGTGGCTTGTGGCTGCATGCGTGTGTATGTAGTGTGTGTATGCATACGTGTGTATGTAGGTGTTTGTATGTATGTTGGTGTATGTAGATGTTCGTTATATGAAGGACTGGCGCAAGATCAAGGCCAACCCTGCCCTGTTTAAGGTGGGCCGGTGGGTGCGGTCTTAAATCAGTGGAGCTTGTGGCTGCATGCGTGTGTATGTAGTGTGTGTATGCATGCGTGTGTATGTAGG